ATGGAGATGGTGGTAGTGGTGGTTATATTGGTGCTGTAAATGGTGGTACTGGTGGTGAGAATGGCTATCAAAAGTATACATTGTTGTATCCCTCTGCAATAGTCTTTACTAAGTGTTCTCTCGTAGGGGGTCAGAGGTCACCGAAAACGTTTGTGACCCATAGTTCAACAACAACACAACCAACCCTCAGGGCAAAGAGAGTATCACAACCTACAAACATTGACATACTGGTCACTTAAGAGGACTACAAAGCCCACCTGTAAGTAATTATAAACTGAATGAGGGAACACATGTTGCCATACCTTACAACTATTGATTATAAGTCAATGTTAACTTATGGTTATTGTAAGTCAAGATAGAAGTTTAAGTATGTGACGTCGTACCCCACAATGTATATTAATAGCTTTACAATTTTGTGTTAGACAATATGACACAACGTATGAAGCATTTTGAGTGTGTAGCTAACCTTTGGATTAGTTAATGTGGAATTGAAAGTACAGTTACAGAAAATAAATACATGATCTATAATTTATCGTCAGGCATTACTGTAACCACAACGCCACTATAGCCTCGACGACCATCTTGCCCTAGACGACTATCTTACCCTACACAACTGTCTTGCACTACATGACTATCTTGCCCTACACTAATTTCTTGCCCTACACACCATTCTTGCCCTAGACGACTATCTTGCCCTACACGACACGCTTGCCTTAGACGACTATCTTGCCCGACTCAACTATCTTACCCTATACGACTACCTTTTCAAGACAAATCGCTTGTCCTCGACAAATATCTTGCCCTAGACAACCTTCTTGCCCCCGACAACCTTCTTTCCGTCACCTGAAGATCTCAGAATTTGCCATCTAATCTCAAATGCCAAATTGAAAAGATTCCGAAGCAATTTAAATTACCTCAAACTGTCGCGAAAAAAACTCCAAAGAAAATATGATTCTCGTCTACTTGTAGGAGGTAATGTGTACACCTGCAGGAGATAATGTATTCATCTGCAGGAGGTAATGTATACACCTGCAGGAGGTGATAAGCACACCTGCAGGAGGAAATGTGTACACCTCAGGATATAATGTGTACACCTGTATGCAGGTAATGTGTACACCTGGAGTAGGCAATATGTACATTTGCAGAAGGTTATGTGTACACCTGCAGGAGGTAATGTGCTCACCTACAGGGGGTAATATGTACACCTGCAGGAGGTAATGTGTACACCTGAAAAGGTAATGTGCACACCTACAGGAGGTAATGTGTACACCTGCAGGAGGTAATGTGCACACCTACAGGGGGTAATATGTACACCTGCATGAGGTAATGTGTACACCTGCAAAAGGTAATGTGCACACCTACAGGAGGTAATGTGTGCACCTGCAGGAGGTAATGTGTACACCTACAGGGGGTAATATGTACACCTGCATGGGGTAATGTGTACACCTGCAAAAGGTAATGTGCACACTTACAGGAGGTAATGTGTACACCTGCAGGAGGTAATGTGTACACCTGCAAGAGGTATTGTGTACACTGCAGGAGGTATTGTGTATACCTGCAGGAGGTAATGTGTACACCTGCAGGAGGTAATGTGTACACCTGCAGGAGGTAATATGTACACCTGCAAGAGGTAATGTGTACACCTGCAGGAGGTAATGTGTACACCTGCAGGAGGTAATGTGTACACCTGCAGGAGGTAATGTGTACACCTGCAGGAGGTAATGTGTACACCTGCAGGAGGTAATGTGTACACCTGCAGGAGGTAATGTGTATGAGACTTTGGATTGTAAAAAAAAATTCTTACCTAGAAAACTTCCAAATGGTCCTTTCCTCGCTGTCTGTGCTGGTGATATGTGTAGCCTGAGACTGTAATACTGACAATCTGTGATAGTAACAGTGACAATAGGTGATATTAACAATGACAGCAGGTGATGGTAACAATGATGGTAGGTGATGGTAACAATGACAACAGGTGATGGTAACAATGACAGCAGGTGATGGTAACAATGACAGCAGGTGATGGTAACAATGATGGTAGGTGATGGTAACAATGACAACAGGTGATGGTAACAATGACAGCAGGTGATGGTAACAATGACAGCAGGTGATGGTAACAATGACAGCACGTGATGGTAACAACTATGCACTCTGAGGTGGCCAAAAAAGTTTGTGCTCATTAATAGGATTCAACCTGTTCCTTTATTTCACTTGATGATTGAACATTCTCACTCTACCTGGGTAGTTAGGTTAGGTTAGGTTAGGTTAGTATCATTGTGGTTAATTTACAAGTGAAATAAACTGGGGTACGTTATCTTCACGTGATCCAAGTAAACCTACAACTCTTTCTAAGACTGAATGGCTGAATTGTTAACCTAACACTTTACTCTACTCTAGGTAAACCCGGCACTAGACTCAACCATTAAGACTCGTGAACAACAATGAGTCATACACCCATCTACCTCCCCCCCTACCCACCCCGTGTAAACAAATCAATTAAAATAAATCTATAAGTTAATATGAACTTGGAAATAAATATTGCTTACTGAAGCCCAGACATCGATTGCATACATCAATACTCTGTCTCGGTTCACTTCACGTAAACTCGTACAGAAATCATCTAGATCATTATACCTACGAGAGGTACTGTATTTCCGTGGTGATGTATAGATGTATTAACTTACTTCATAATATCAATATTCATATAACACACACACACACACACACACACACACACACACACACACACACACACACACACACACACACACACACACACACACACATACTGGCAACTTAACACAAGTACATAATAATGCTTTGGCTGTAATCAGGACAATAATACAGCACCATGAAACTCGCTACAGTGTAAGGGTATTACGTTCACCTGACAGATATGTGCTTTAACACCTTCACTTTTCTCACTCTCCCTCTCTCTCCTGCAATTTTTCTCCAGCTCCCCGTCTCTCCCTAGCACATCTTCTCCCCCCTCTCTCTCTCTCCTCCCTCTTTCTTTCTCCCCTCCACTTCTTCTCCCTCTACCTCTCTCTCTTCCACTTCTCCTTCTCCCTCTTTCTTCTTTCTCTCTTTCACTTCTTCTCCCTCATCCTCTCTTTCTTCCACTTCTTCTTCCTCTTCTTCTCTCTTCCTCTTTTTCCTCCACTCTCCCCCACTTCTTCTCCCTCTCCTTCCCTCCCCCCCACTTCTTCTCCCTCTCCCTCTCTCCCTCAATTCTTCTCCCTCTCTCTTTTTCACTTCTATCTTTTCTTTCCTCTTTGTCTCCCTCTTAGTCATTCCTTCCTTCTTTTTCTTCTTCTCACCCCTATCCTCCCTCCTTTTCCTCCTTTTATTCTTCCACTTCATCCTCCTCCTCCTCCTCCTCCTCCCTCTCCTTCATTTATTCCTTCTCATCCTCCACCTCCTCCTTCTTTTCCTCTTTCTCCATGTCTTACTCCTCGTCTTCCAGCCTCGGGAGGACTAAGAGACAGGAAGGAAAGAGGAGAAAGAAGGGAGGAGACAGGTCGAAGGGGGGAGGTCTCCATGAGTCACAACTCGAAGGATTATGAACAGATAAAATTAATTTATTTTCATCCTACAAAATCTTCCTGCGGGGGATGACGCACCTGTCTTGTGGGGGAGAGGAGGAGGATAGTAGGAGTAGGGAGAGAGGGGGAGGAGGAGGAGAGGAGGACGAAAGTAGGAGGAACGGAAGAAGACGGAGAGAGGAAAGGGACTGGGAGAGGAGGAGGAGGACAGGGAGAGGAAGAGAGGTTTCTGTATGGGAGATAGGAAATGGTGTGGTGAGAATATATATATATATATATATATATATATATATATATATATATATATATATATATATATATATATATATATATATATATATATATATATATATATATATATATATATATATATATATAATTAGAGAGAGTAGGAAGAAAAGAAGAAGATGGAAGGGAACAGAATCCTAAAAGTTAGGTCAATGAAGGTATTTTTAGCGGAAGACAAAGAGACGAGGAGACTGACTCTGAAATTTGATAAACTTCCACATCTTACTACTCCTTGACATTGTTTCTTAAGTTATTCATTTATCTATAAATTGTCATTCGTATTTCTTTTATTTTCTCAGTCTTCCTGCTTCCTTTCTTCTTTCCTCCTAGCTCTCTTTTCTTCCTCATTCTTCTCCTCTCCCAATTCTCTCTCCCTCCTCCTGCTCTCACTCGTCAGTATCCTCAAATAGGCCGATGAAGATCTTGTCTCACAAACGAGCTCATACACCCAAGAGTAAACAAACATCAATGCCATCACTTCTCACTGCTGACTCTGGCACACCAACGCCTGGTGAAAACAACAACACATTATTAAATTTCATCCTTTACTGACCATACGAAAAAGGAGAGAAAAAAACGAAGTGAGCATTTTGTCGTGAACAAATACTCGGTCTTGCAAACACGGTACTACATGTTGGTAGTCAATTCTCACACGTAATATTTTTAGTATGTACAGCAGTTCATCTTACACCTAAACAAAGAGCAAGAAAATTATCTTACTTTTATAGTAATTAAATTATATTTCGAAATCATAAAGTTTGGTTAGGCAAGGTTAGGTTAGGTTAGGTTAGGCGGGTTTAAAAGAAATTTAGTGTAAAACAGCGACTCTGTGTTTGATAACCTATTAACAGTAAAAATGTTTTCATACAAATGAACAGCAACAAATTCCAGATGGTGCCAGGCCAGGCGAGAGTTGCGTGGCAGGCTATGGTGGTGACCTGTTCTGTGTGGCACGCTGTGGTGACATGCTGTGCCTTATTGTTGTGTATAAGGGAAGGTGTGTGGCACGCTGTGGTGGTGACCTGCTGTGTGTGAGGGATGTATGCTGTTTACACGGTAGCCCCCACTGTCCCCCCCCCCCACCCACCAACCACCCAGCTGGCACTTTGACCTTTGACCTTGTCTGGTCCATAATTACATAATTAAGGAGTGCATCTGTTGGTTATTCAGGTCGCGGTGAGGCAGCTCTGCGGCACTACGAGGCGGCACTGGGGTTGGACCCACGGCACCCGGTGGCACTGGTCAACACTGCAAGGCTCATGAGGACACTAGACCACAACACACAGGCAGAAGTCTTCTACAAGAGGTGAGGCACTGGCACTGCTCAGTACTGCATGTTGAGAAAAATACATACACGCACACACACACACACACATATATATATATATATATATATATATATATATATATATATATATATATATATATATATATATATATATATATATATATATATATATATATATATATATATATATATATATGATGACGTCCTAATACTCACGTAATGCTTGTTTACATTGTTTAGTCCATGGGTCAGAGAAGGTGATCAGTAGCACTGCGCGGTATATACCAGACATCCTTCATAGCACTGGTGAAGGATGTTGAATAAATGACAAAAATGTTGACTGAACATCTCAAAACAGTAGCTTTATTGTTTTGTTCTGCCCTAATCACATGATAACTGGTATAAAGGACAATTTTGGTAAAACCTATCCTTTCCGAAATCCTTCCCCAGGATTGTTATAATAAATTGTCATTCCTAGTTAAACTCATTGGATTAATTAAAACCACTAAAAACATAATCATGTAGACCTAGTAAATTGTATTATCAACAAATTACATAGTAATATACCGCCAAAATTATAGACCTCAATTCACGCGCTGTGGACAGACGAGTAAGTTTAAAGTTAGGGCTCAAGGCCAAGTACTGTAATACAGTACTACACCACCTTCATTAACTTAAAGGGAAAGTTTCAGCCAGAATGCTACACAGTAAGGATGTTCCAGCAAACAGTTTTAGAAACTAGAGAAAATAAACTTTTAGAAAATTAGTATTTCATCCGGTACCTCCATTTTGTACCTTTTGAGCAAAATCCAGGCTCTGGCCCATGCATGAACTAGTTTGTTAAGGAGGACGGAGTCTCACCTGTGCGGTAAGTTAGTAACCCAGATAATATTAACTCATGTATGTATTTAAAAGAAAGTCTCGATAATTTGGACTTCATTATTTCGAATTCCTGAAAACTCGAACCATGTCACACCTTCTCCAGCATTTGTTTTCCATAAATCGGTATTTTTTTTCCGTGTTTTCCAACATTAAATTACGAGATAATGATCACCTCCTGGCAACCGTTTGGTTCGTTTGGACCAACTTGAAATAATCTGACACAGCTTCGGCACCTACGAGTGACCTGAATAATACATCCACGATATTGATCAGCCAACATGTTGAGCGGTGTGAGGGAAGCGTTTGGTCTTTACGCACGTCTCACTCATATATTAGTTAAAGTACTTGATGTTTGAGAAATGGTTATCTTCTGCTGGTGATGTGCACTGTATATTAATTGCAGGTGGTGGTTCAAGGTTCCACTGGGGCAGTAAACATATGATTACTGCAGAAAAATTGGGCATCATCACGAATTGTGAACAGTGATAAAAAACTGCAGCAAGCACACGCACACACACAGCCTTAAGACAACAACATTCTATGATAGTTTCAAGAATAAAGTCAAGACAAAAACGTATGAGTGAGCAGGAAGATGAGGTTTCCTGTGTGGGGAATACTTATAAGAAATGACAAAATGCTATTGCAAAATACAACAGAAAAGAGCAATTTGAAAAAAACGTTACAGTACTTTGTTCCCACATTTTCGCTTATATAATACTGTTTATTTATGTTTTAGAATCATCATCACCCTAAAGGCTTGTACATTTAACATAGAAAGTCTAAATGTGTATCATAACACAATAACAGCAGCACACACGTCAGACCTATCTGCAAAATATTCGGATTTCTCGGAAAATTGCATTTTTTCGGACCCTCTTACTGTCATTAGTCCGAGTTACCAAAGTCTTTTAAAACACTGAACGTCCGTAACATAAATTATTACACCAGTCTGTCCCTTGGCTGCTGTACCAGATAAATATATCTCACTTTACCTCTTCCATACTGATGACTCGTGTATCTATTAACCTATAATACCCTCTTAATTAAAGAGCTCGGCAGTAATACATCATAACATCAACAACAAGTGAACTCTGAGCTCACCTGATTGGACCAAAATAATTACTATTAACAATACCACGTAATTTTTTATCTGATAAACAATAAAGACATAAAAGTATATTGTTTCAGGTTAGATGTGTCAATGCCTTCTTGCTGTGCCATCCTCCGCTAAAAAGAACGTATTTAACTGACAGGTCAAAAATTTAAAGCCAACGTAATTCAGATATATATTTATAAATTCTTTAAATCTTTTAGTACTCATAGATAACTAAATAATTAATATGTACAGTTTTCGTGCTTCGTGTAAAAATATTCTCCGAGTTTTATTCATCTTCCTACAATGGCTTAATTAAACAATTTTTATATTTTTTAAAATCACTTTATCACTTTTTCCACTTTGACACAACACTGAACATTGAACATTGAGAACAAAGATGATTGTCTTTTTTTTTCCATAAGAATATTGAAATGAAATAAACTCAACTATGAAATTATTTCAGGAAAAAAAAAGAAATTTCAACACCACATTGACTCCCCTATCTGACTTAGCTTGTAATAAATCAGAGGTAAATAGTAGACTTACTGCTCTACACACGAGTAAAGCACTCATAAATCAAGCCTGTGGTTAGTAATAATACATTAGCGGAACTTTACCTGTACTTCACCCAAGGCCGTGGGAATGTTTACATCAGCTATCACATCCTAACCTGCAAAACTTACTTAATTACAGCAACTTTCGCCAACTTCCCCATTCATTTCCAGAACGCTGTACGTTGATATAGCAGATATATACTTATTCTACTCTTGTTTGTTTCAATCCACCCTAACCCAACCAAACATCCAACACTCTAACTAAACCTCTAACCCAACCAAACCAATCCAACACAAACCTAACCTAACTTAGCTAACCTAACGCTATCGTAAACCAAATCTAATCCACCCTAATGCTAAATCCAACCCAACCTACCTAGATTAGCCACCCTAAACTAACTTAAACGCCCTAAATAACCTCAATCCAGCCACGGTTTACTAGGAGAAACAAGAGTTATATTCCCTGTTTTGAGTTGCACGTCTGAATGTGTAGTCAGTGAATACAACACTTTGATCAATATACCTAGACAAATATGGTGAAGAGGAACCAGTTGTTCTTGCATGACAATATTTAAAACCCGTCTCTCTCTCTCCAGTACTAAAAGCAAACCTAACTTGCCTCCTCACCAACCACTGGTCCTCACCAACCACTCTGCCCCACTCAACCATCTTGCCCAGGCTAACCACTTGTCCCACCAACCACTTCTACCCCACCAACCACATACCCCACCAACCACTCTGCCCCCTCACTAGCCACTCTGCCCCACAAACCATTTGCTCTCACTAACCACTCTCACTCCCCCACCAACCACTTGCCTCACACCAGCCACCTTAAACCCAAAAACCACTTGCCCCCACTCAACCATTTGCCCTCTCACTAACTACTCAAGTGCTCACCAACCACTTGCCTCTTCACTTTCAACCACTTGGTTCCCACTCAACCAAGTGCCCCCACTCAAACACTTCTCTACTCCCCCACTAACCACACTTGGCCCTCACTAACCACTCTGCTCCCCTCACTAACCACTGCCACTTCCACTTACTCCCACTTCCAAACACTCTTCTGCCCCACTCAACCACTTGCACCCACCAACCACTTCTGTCCCCACTCAACGACTTGCCCCCACTCAACCAATTCACTCCCACTAACCACTTGCTCCCACTAACCATTTGCCCCACTCAACCCCTCACTCCCACTCAACCACTCTGCTCCACCAACCACTTCCATGTCTTCACTAACCACTTGTCCCTACTCAAACCACTTCCGTCCCCACTCAACCACTTGCCCCACCAACCACTTGCTCCTTCTAAACCAATTGCTCCCCACTAACCACTTCTGTCCCACCAACCATCTGCTTCCCACCAACCACTTGGTCCCCACCAACCACTCTGTCCCCACTAACCATTTGCCCCACCAACCATTTTGGTTCTACTCAACTACTTGTCCCCACTAAACCACTTGCACCCACTAACCACTGCCCCCACCAACCACTCTGGCCCCCCACTAACCACTCTACCCCACTTGAACCACTCTGCTCCCACCAACCACTTACTCCCCACTCAACCACTTGCCCCACTCAACCCCCCATTCCCTACTAACCACTCTGCCCCTCACCAACCACTCTGCCCCACTCAACCACTTCCACCCACTAAACCACTCTGCTCCCACCCAACCACTTTCTCTACCCCCCAAACCACTTGCTCCCCACCAACTAATCTGCTAATTCTGCTACCACTAACTACTTGTCCCCACCAACCATTTGCCCCTCACTAACCATTTGTCTCCACTCAACCACACTTCCATCCCCACTCAACCACTCTGCTCCCACCAACCACTCTGCCCCCACTCAACCACTTCTGGCCCCCACCAACCACTTGCCCCACTAACCACTTGGTTCCCACTCAACCACTCTGGTCCCCACTAACCACATGCTTCCTGCCAACCATCTGCTCACCAACCACTTCCATCCCCACCAACCATCTGGCCCCTCACTCAACCACTCTCTCCCCACTCAACCACCTTGTCCCCACCAACCACTCTGCTCCCCACTCAACCACCCCTGTCCCCACTCAACCACTCTGCCCCACTCAACCACCTGCTCCCCACTAACCACTCTGCCCTACTCAACCACTCTGCTCCCACCAACCACTTGCTCTGCCAACCATTCTGTCCCACCAACCACTTGTCCCCACTCAACCATCTGCCGTCACCAACCACTCTGCTCCCACCAACCACTTGTCCCCGCTAACCACTTGTCCCTACTAACCATTTGCCCCCACTTCAACCATTTGCTTCCCACTCAACCACTTGTCCCCACTCAACCACTCTTGCTCCCACTACCACTTCTGCCCCACTCAACCACTTGCCCCCCACCAACCACTTGTCCTACCAAACACTTGCCCCCACTAACCACTCTGTTTCTTCTAACCATTCTGTCTCCCACTCAACTACTTGTCCCCACTCAACCATTTGCTCCCCACTAACC